TATTGCTGGGCATCACCAAGCACAGCCTGGTTCATCCCCCCTAACACCCTCCCTTCAGTCCCTCTGACTGGGATGGGGAGGTGGGCATGGAGTCAGGCAGCCCCAGAGAGGCAGCAGAAACACCCACAGGAGCACAGAAAGATCTGTGGAAGGCCAGATCATCTGGCCTTGGAAGGGAGGCACTGGGAAAAGACACCGTATGAAACATCACGCTCCCGGAAGGTTGCAAAATCTGGAATGAGAGATCTGGGCACCAGCCAGTCCCTAGCTCTGGTTCCTTTGGGGACAAGCAAGGCCTGCTTCTCTACATGGAACCCTGTGTGCTGTAGGTGGTTCCCAGGCACTTAACAGGTCATGGTCCTGCCCTTGCACCTCTGTGCAGTGAGTGCAGTTATTTAATGTGCTGCTCACTGCTTGCACAGAGAGAGGATGCAACACTGTGTGCTTTGCAAGGAGGCAGAAAAGCAGCTGGCTGTAAATGTTCCTCTGGCTAACACCAGTCCCCTTCTTCCTAGGATTCCTAAGCTGAGGCCAAGTCAGAAGAAGGTGCGGCTGATTTTGAGAGGCAGGGCCCGGGACAAGAAGAAGATGAGGTTTGGTAAACCCAAACGCTCGGCGTTACGGCAGGCAGAGGAGAGCCCGAAGCCCAAGAAGAAGGTGCACTGGAAACTGCCCCCTGAGTGAGAGCGTTTGTGTCAGCTGGAGCCTCCACAGGAGCCAGCAGCACCGTGCCTTCTGCTGCTGGTGGTCTCCCACCCTTCACCAGAGACCTCCGCAGCTACCCTTCCAGTGAACGCCTCTAGCTTATCTTTTAGTTACCTAAGTTAATTCACTAACTGTTGTTTAATTGTTGATTAAACAACTGGCAATAAATCGTTAGTTGTCAGCTTGTCTTGGTTGGAAAGACAGGTGTCTGCAGGACCTCTCTGGAATGGAAAATGTGACCCCCTTCCCTCCAAATTACTGTAACTGAAATTAAGGGGCTTTCAGGCAAAGATATGGGAAAAGGAGTAACAGTTCTTTACTAGCGTGTAAGGCAAACAAAAACAACACTGGCAGCAACAACAAACAGAACCAGATACCCAACCACGGCCTTCCCTTCGCTGCAGGCACTTCCCCTTTGCTGTAGTTCTGGTCACAGCTGGGCAGGGAAGGGAGGCAGCTAATGAATAAAGCAATTACTGAAGAAATTTTAATTAAGCTACACCAAGGAATACGCTGGCGAGCTCAAGCACTGTGTGATCAATTCGGAAGAACTTATTGCTGTGAGGGAGTCTATACAGGAATCAAACAGAGACTGAACAATGCTCAATTTGTTAAAAGGTAAATAAGAAAGTGATGAGAAAACACCCTGGTGAGGGAAGAGCCCTAGCCCTTAGATCCTTTCAAAATATGCAAATAAATTACACTGAGTTCCCCAGAATACAGAGGTGGAAATACCTTCTTGTAATAGTTGATCACCTCACCCACGGGGTAGAAGCCTTTCCTACCTCACCTGCAACTGCCTCCAAAGTGGCTAAGATGCTATTAGAACAAACCATTCCCAGATATGGCATAGTGAAAGAATAGACTCAGATAAGGGAACGCACTTGAGAAATTTTACATTCTATATGTGTGGAATTAGACATAAATTGGAGATTTCATACCCCGTGGCACCCTCAAGGCTCTGGATGTGTGCAGAGAATGAATGCTATCCTTAAGAACCATATTACCAAATTAATGGTTGAAAGCAGATTAGCATTATTAGAGATCAGAACTGCTCCAAGAAAGGGCAGAGGAGTTTCTCCCAGTGAAATGTTACTTGGGTTACCTTATCTGGGAAGGGAGGAGGGGTTGCCAATGGCTGAAACTAATGACTCAGCTCTCAGAAATTATTTGCAGGCAATTGCACTCTCTCTCATGGATCTTAGAAGAAAAGAGTTGTAACCCCAAACATCACCTCTAGACTTTCACATACACCAGGTAAAACCAGGAGATTGGGTTCTAATAAACTTGGAATGATGATGCCTTAACAGCAGCATGGGAAGGTCCCTTTCAGGTACTTTTAACAACTGAAACAATTACCAGGACTGCAGAAAAGCTCTCACGCCTCTCAAGTCAAAGGGCCAGTGGAAGCTCCTCCCCAAACTTGCGCAGTGGTACAAGGAAGTGACCCTTAAAAGTTAATCTTCAAAAGATGATTTAATAGTGAACAGTCAAGGGCAAGACTGGACTGACCTCTGTATTTGCCACCTGAGAGCCTTTTGCTCCTCTGTGGGCTGCAACCCCTTGGGCGTTGAGCAGTGGGAATATAAGGCAAACCAGACTTTGACAAAAGAGGAATAGGAGATTATGTTCTAAGCCTCTGCAAATTGCTGGATGGAGTGTCATGGCTTCTATGCTTCACCTCTACATCCCTGCAGTGTGCTGTTCTAGTGCACAGAGCTCAGGAAACAGGTATGGATACCGAGGAAGGCAACCTTTGGTGCTACAGTCACCATCTGAGGTTTGCATCATCCCAGCAAGCACAGATGGAACTGCTGATGGCAGACACTGCACACAAGCGTATCTACATCCTGCTTTGCTTGAGTTGGAGGAGAACTATGGACAGCAACCAGAACTGACAAATCAGGAACTTTTAAATAGACTGAATTTAACACTGACCTCAGAAAAGACTGATTAATCTTATTTATAACTGCTTCACAAAAGGAGCCAGTTAGTGCTGACCAGACAGGGTAATTAAATCAAGGGGTTCAGCAATAAAAGGATAATAAAAGGAAAGGGTGGATTGTGAGAGATGAGGTGAGATTTTGCTGAAGCCAGAAGGTTCTTAGGTTAAAGAATGAAAGGTGTTGGTTCTATGTGGTGTTGTTTGGATTTGTTCTGGTTGGTTTGTTGAGTGTTTGTGAGCTGGGAGGGGGGCGGAGTTGGAGACCTAAACAGAAGTAGGATGAGAGGGGAGGGGACCGTAAATTTGCAGATAACAGCAAGGTGGGAGCATGTGTCAACTTATTGGAGGGTAGGAGGGCTCTGCAGAGGGACCTGAACAGGCTGGATAGATGGGCCAAGTCCAACAACATGAAGTTTAACAAGTCCAACTGCCGAGTGCTGCACCTTGGCCACAACACCCCCTGCAGCGCTACAGGCTGGGGACAGAGTGGCTGGGCAGCGGCCAGGCACAAAGGGACCTTGGGCACTGGTCAGCAGCCAACTGAGCATGAGCCAGCTGTGTGTCCTGGTGGCCAAGAAGCCAGTGGCTCCTGGCCTGGATCAGGAATGGTGTGGGCAGCAGGAGCAGGGAGATCATCCTTCCCCTGTGCTCAGCACTGCTGAGGCCACACCTCGAGTGCTGTGTCCAGTCTGGGCCCTCAGTCTGGGAAGGATCTTGGGATGTTTGAGCATGTCCAGAGGGGGCAACGAGGATGGAGAGGGGCTGGGAACACAAACCCTGTGAGGAACCCCTGAGGGAGCTGGGGGTGCTCAGCCTGGAGAAAAGGAGACTCAGGAGACTTTACCACTGTCTACAACTCCCTGAAAGGTGGTTGTGGTCAGGTGGGGCCCGGTCTGCTCCCAGGCAACAAGTGACAGAAGGAGAGGGCACAGTCTTAAGCTGTGCCAGGGGAAGTTTAGATTAGATGTTAGAAAAAAAATTCTTCACTGAAAGAGTGACGGCACACTGGAATCGCCTGCCCAGGGAGGTGGTGGCGTTGCCAACCCTGGACATGTTTAAAAAAGAGTAGATGTGGCACTCAGTGCCATGGTTTAGTTGATGAGGAGGTGTTAGGTCATGGGTTGAAGTAGATGACCTTAAAGGTCTTTTCCAATCTAATTCATTCTGTGATTCTGTGAAAAGTTGGCAGTCGGGAGAGAATGGAAGTTCCTGAGTACCCATCCAATGGCAAAGGGGATAGGGACAGCCCCGACCAGGAAAGGCTACAAAAAGAAGCCATTTCCTCAGGGGGGGCAGTCTTGGTCTGTCAGGCAAGGGCAGCACACACCTGGCTCATTACTAATAGAGTATTCTTTTGCTTCCACCATTTGTCCCCACTGAATTGCATCTAAAGGTCCGTGCATTTCCAACACCATGGAGGTGGAATAAGGTGATCATTAAGGTCCCATCCACATTCTGTGGAAGGGACCTCCTGTGGTTCCTCCTCTCCCAACTATGGTTCTGTGACTGGTCACAAATGCAGCCCTTTCACGGTCCTTCTCCCACTGGGAGCTGCTCCAGTGCCGGAGTTCAGGCGGGACTGGATGGAATCCACGGAGCCTCCGCACATCTGGGGCAGCGCGGCCCCGCAGCTCCCGGCACAGGGACAGCCCGGAGGGGGAAAGGGAAAAAGGGAACTGTGGAAAACGCCAATAATTTGTTTTTAAAATTTTAAAAGTTTAATAGTAATACAATGGTTATAAAAATAGCAATACAATTAGAGTAATAATAATTTGGACACTTTGAATTAGGACAATATGAGACAATAGAGACAAAGAGTTATGGACGTCTGGGTACCTTTTTCTGGGAAGCACAAGCTCGAAAAAGGACACCCGTTAACAAAGGATTAACCCTTAAAAGCAATAATAGCCTGTTGCATATTCATATATTTCATACATGATGCATAAATTCCATTCAAACACAGGATTCTGTCTGGTCAGTGCCACCTTCTTCCTCTGAATCCTAACAGCGCCTTTGAGGCAGGAAGAAGTTCGTTTCTTGTGATAATGGGGCAATAATTTCTTTTTCTGTGAAAGATTTAGGTGTCCTGTGGCTGCTGTATCGCTGAGAGTCCTTTCTTAAAAAAAAAAAAAAAAGTATCCTCCATAGCATAGTTTCTATTCTAACATTTTTTAGCACTTAAAACTATATTTAAGAGAAGTAACACAGCATTACTTTCTAACACAACACATGTAATATCCATTTTAACATTTGCGAACAGCCAAACACGAAAAGCACGCATTTGTCACAGGAGCGATCGAGCGCCGAGTGGTGGGGCCGCGTCGGGGCCGGGCCGGGGGCGGTGCCGGAGATGGCGGCGGAGCGGGAGGAGCCGGGCCCCGCTCCCGGTGCCTGTCCCGGTCCCGGCCCGGGGCATGAGCGGGGCACGGCCCGAGGGTGCCCGAGCTCCGCTCTGCCCGCTCCTGGGCACGGCGCCATGGAGAGGGCCCGGCACCGCCTGAGGCAGTTCGATATCGGGGACAGGTTCTCCGGCCTGCCGCTGCCCAGAGCCGCCGTGCTGCTGCCGCTGATGGTGCGAGCGGGGCGGCTGCACCTGCTGCTCACCGTCCGCTCGCTGCAGGTACCGGGGGCTCCGGGGACCGTCGGGGCGCGATCCCGGCAGCTGCGCCACCCAGTGCCCCCTGTTCCCGACCTTGTGCCCAAGGGCACGGCCGGGTGTTTTTACACTGATGTGATTCTGGTGTTTGCGTGCCAGGAACACGCCGGGATCCCGGAAACCCGTGACGGGAAATTAACATTTGCACAGCCGGCAATGGTTGCTTACTTAAATAAGGAAACTGACCGTGGAGCGCAGCTTTGTTAAATGAGGTTTTTCAGTCTGCGGTTAATATTACTCTTCTCTCCCTTTACTATACAAAAGACAACAACCCAAGGGTGACAGAACTCTTTCTCCAGCATTTTGTTTTCTTCTACAACTCTTGTTTTCCGTCCTTGTGTCACATCAACTGCCTGTGCTCAGGAATTACTTTTTTCTGTTGCTGGGTCTTACTTAAAAAACAATCACAGTTACATAGCTGTTAAATGTAAATGTGTTTGTTACTGATCCTTGATGCACAAGCCTACTACTGGAATGTATTTAAAGCTGTCTTAGAAATAACTCACTTTTTGATACAGTCAGGAGGGGACACAGTCTTTGAAGCAATAACTAAATAATTTAATTTGCAATGAGTCAGCTGAGTCGGGTGTGTGTCTCCCTCCCCAAAGGCAGAAACACACACACACACACACTGACAAAATGGCAATCTTTTATCCTCTTTTGCAGTTGGGGCTCGTCCCATTGAGTGCCTACTCAGGAACTCAGGCTCTGCCGACTGCCAACTTTTCTGTCCTTTCTCTTCTCACCCTTCTCCCTGTTCTGGTTATGTCTTCAACCCTGCCCCTCTTCCAGTTCTCAACAACACCCAACAGATTAAACAAAACACATTTTAACCATTTTCCAACCATTTCCATTCTTTTGCTCTGTAATCTTTTGGGCTGAAGCAAAATGTTATTTCCTCTCTCATGGGTATGTTATTTAATTGTGTCTTTCAAAGGTTTTTGCTCTTAGAGTATTTTGATCTTGCTCTACAAGTTGTCTGTCTGGATTAATCTGTCAGTCATTTACATAAACAAGATGATGCAAAATGTGAACTTTGGCATACTAAAGCAGAAGTTCCGGTATGAATTACACAATGGTGTACAGGTACAGGGTATTTTTTGATAGTGAGGATTTATGGATTAGCAGGAGATAGCTACCTCAGCATTTTCTTAGCTGGCTACTCTTGCTAAGGCATGTTTCTTCTGGTCTGCGGAATCCTAAACCACCATTTCCAGCTTCTTTGACTGGAAAGATAAACACAAAGGGATGCTGCAATACCAACACGTATCAGTGTGGATCCAATGAGAAACATAAACCTTGTTCTATTTAACAGTACTTTACTCCTTTACATTCTAGCTGAGAAGATCACCAGGGGACGTGTGTTTTCCAGGAGGTAAAAGGGAAGACACTGATAGAGATGACATTGACACTGCTCTCCGAGAAGCTAAAGAAGAAGTGGGTCTTCAGCCAGAGAAGGTGGAAGTCATCTGTAGGCTGATGCCTGGAATTGATAAAGTAAGTCAGCCTATCAGTACAGAATAAGTTTGGGTGGTTTTCACTTGTGTGGTTGGCAGTGACCTTTTCAAGCCTGGAACTGTCAAGAGGCGCCACTTCTTCGTGTGCCCAGCCCGTGTGTCCAGCAGAGGCCAGGGAAAGGGTTCTTGCCCAGGGTTTGGTGTTTGTGAGAGCAGCTCTGGGGCACCCCACAGCCAGCGCTGCCCTGTGAGAGCTCAGCAGAGAGCCATGAGAGCAGTCACAGCGAGCGGGTGATGGATGAGCAGCCAGGCTGAGAGAGGGGGGCTTGCTCAGCTTGAAGGCTGCCAGGGGATTTGGCTGCTTTCTTCTCCTGGCGTGTCAGAGAGGGGATGATACCAGAACTCTTCTTGAGGCAATGGACACAGCAGCGGCATGGACATTGTGATGAGATGCAAGAAAGAAATTCTCTTCACCATGAGGTCAGCCCAGAAGCAGAGCAGATGTTGCTGACAGGCTGTACAGTCCCCATCCCTGGAGCTGTGCAGGGCTCACTCTCCCAGGCAGGGTGGCTGCTGTAGCCTCACAGCTGCCCTGTCTGGTGTCTGCTGACTCCAGGGCTGTGCAGACAGAGAGGGGATGTGCACCTGGATTGTGTGCATCATCTTCCTCTAGCAGGGAGACTCCCAGAGGTGTCTTTGGAGTGTAGGTCACCATTTGTAAATTAACAGGTTCTCAATTTCAATAGCAGTGTTCAGTATTACATAGGGTCAGTTTTCCCATAGAACAGAGGCATTTCTGTTTCTGAAGATTATTTTTGTTTACCAGGTAGCACTTTATCACTATGCCTCCTGTTCTTCTATCTGATAGCAATATCCTCTCCCCATTAAAAATGGAAACAACTACTTTTGAAATTTTATTGCAAAAAGCTTTATTTAACTTCTTAAATTATTCTACATTTTTGTACAGATAACCTTAAAGCCACATAGCTCCATAGCAGTGTGTAAAAAGGATCATATTTTCCCTGTTTTCCAGCCAATTACTTCAGTCAGTAGGAGAGATGGTGAGGGTTTTGGACCATGAGCATTGTACATGTCAGATGACACTCTGTCTGCTCAGTGTATACATTCCAGGTGCTTCTGACTTGGACGAAATCTTTCCAGACTTGAATCAAATACCACAATCACTGTTTTGCTCTTCCTCCTTTCTACAGGACAGTGGTCTTTGTTAGTGTGAACAAACCGAACTAGCAATGTATCCTAAAGAATTTTGGTGTTCTGTTGATGCAAACTATGATTTCAGTGATTTTGCCTTCCCATGGAAGCAGGGATTACATTTAGAATTAAAATGTCCATAAATGATGTGTTTCAAAAAGTGTTACATTTTATGGCTAAATACATTGCAATAATATTTCTGTACCTATAGAAAAATAGTTCCATATTCTGGAAAATTCCTATATCCTGGGAAAACAATACAGAAATATGATCTATGATAGGGAAAATTTGGATTAAAATCAGAATTAAAAACGTCAGTAAGGAAGAGCCATGGGAAAGCATGCATGCTTTTGTACTTCTGTAGCAAACTGGCAAGCCTTTTTAACTGCTCTGTGATTATACAGGATGAACAGAGTATTTGTAAAGTCATTTTTGACAATACAAAAATATGACTTCAAATTCTTCAAGTCAAATTACATAGATTGCCATTAGGGGGACTAAATTGCATTGCAGTTGAAAACAGTTCATAGGCTTCTTGTACTCATTTTGTAACAATGAAATGTTTTTTTTAAGTAATGAACATTTTTACTCGGTACAAACATAAGTGTATGAGGGTTTTGTTGATTTTTTTAAATTTACTTATTTATTGTTTGTTTTTTTCTGTCTCTTTTTAGATGAATAACTTGGTGACACCAGTCATAGGATTTATAGAGGAAACATTCCAGGTCACTCCTAACCCAGATGAAGTGAGCGAGGTTTTTGTTGTGCCTTTGGAGTACTTTGTCAAGCCCTTAGATTACAAGACCTTCTCTTATAAAACCTCCTCAGGGTACTCAACTCGAGTACACTGCTTTACATACCATGACCAGGAACACAGAAAGTCATTCAAGATATGGGGACTGACTGCACACTTTGCTGTATTTCTTGCTCTTGTAATTTTTGGAGAGAGACCTACCTTTGAAGTGGATTATGATCTTGACAACTTATTTTCATCCTCTGAGAATTACTTCACTAATTTGTATGCATCTATACATGAAAGGAAGAAGAGTAATCTGTGACAACATGGTCTGGTCATGAATTTATTTTGAAAGAGGAAAAAGGAGGTTGGTTCATTTCCTTTGTACCTACTTTTTGAAAGCTACACTTGAATTTCATCGGAATTGGGAACTTTAAGATGACGATCTCTAATTAGATTAATACAATTTTTAATCTAAGAGCTGTGAGAAGCACACAATATTTTTTTATGAAACAGACTTGAAAAGGTCTGTTTCAGTTCTTTCTCAGTTTCAGTGCCTTTGTTCTGTGTGATCAGAGATACTTTCTGTGCTTTGTTTTGTCTGTAATGAGATAATACTATTTGATGGAAATTGTGTCTGAGTTAGCCTAGGAAAGCTTTCAGGGATCTGTCTGCCTCTTACATGTGCCATGCATGGACAACATGATCCATACAGTCTTGTGGGGTGTCTTTGAGCACTTACAGAATGCACAATAAAAGTACAAAAGGTTTCAGGTGCTTTCACAATCTTTTTTTGTTTTGTTTGGGTTTGTGGAGGGAAGAGGGCAGGTCAATATGTGCAGTGAATTTTGGTTAATTTAACATTTCTCACAAGGCAATTCCATAGGCTATGGAAAACTCAGGATACAGACAACAGGACTGAAGTTTGTCCCTCACCATCTTGTTATCAAATCTCACTCAGCTGCTGGCAGGAGCCTTCTGCAGGACAGAAAAGTGGAGGTGAGGATTCATGAGGACAACCCACCAAATAAACAACAACAGAGAGGGGTTCAGAACGTACAAAACAGCCCCTGAAGAATCGTCAGAGACCAACACTGCACAGCAAGAGCCTCTGAACAGTTAATGACTGAATGCTCCACGCCAAACACACTGAAACCTGAAGACAAGATAAAGCAGTATAAATTTGAGTCAAGAAGTTGTTAGGAAAATTAATCCACAAACATCAGAGGTTTATGTCCAAAAAGGAGCCAGAGGAGTCCTTTTACTTTATTTGAATAAAGGGAGAGGCCATGGGGCATTCCCCAGGGTCTCTCCAATTTTTGGAGGACACAGCCTCCTTTTTATCCCAATTTCCAGCCACATTTCCCTTCTCTCTTTCCCCCTTGGCTGAGGTACTTGAGAGCTTCAGACTCCCCAGTATGCCTGATACCAAAGATTTTCCTCTAAGGTATAACCCTCCCTTTTAATTTTTAATTCTTATGGAATTTAGGGGGGGGGGGGGGTTTCTTCCCCATTGTTTTCTTTCATCTTTCAATGTCCAATTTAATTTAGCAGCAAACCTAAAGTTTATTTGTAAAAGCAAATCTCTTTTTCCATTCATCAGTCAGTGGAATCCTTCCCATTGTTTATCTCCTAGTGCTGGTTTTATCTACCAGCAGACCCACAGGTAGTTTGTAAAGACAAATCTGCCATTCCTCTCAAAATCAGTTACCATGATAGCACAATCTGGCCAGTGTGTGATCACAGCTAGAATCCCCATTGCTTGGCACAGCTGGCACGTGTGCAGTTAGTTGGGAGCCAGAGAGCTGCAAAAAGGGGTGCTGCTGGGGATGCTCCTCTTGTTAAACTCAGCAGCAAAGTGGCACAAGTTAGAGCAGTGATTTTCACTTTAGAACACCTTTGCCTTTGGGAGTGCACCTCACAGAGGCTGCTCTTCTGGAGTTTGAAATCCCATTTTGGATGGGAAAGCATCCAGAAGGCAGAGGAAGAGCATCAGGGGAGCCCTGCAGGGTTCCCTTGCATCTGGCCAGGAGCAAGGGCTGAAAGGCTCCTGCCACCCTCCCCTGTGCCACCTGAGCTCCTTGCATGCCCCAGCAGCTTCCTGGTGCCTCTGGCTGCAGATCCAGCTAAGATCCAGTCCTGTCCAGAGATAAAATCCTGAAGCAGCTCCACAGGTGCTTTGTTGCTTTGTCCCTGTGAGTTCTGCAGTTCCAGTCTGTAAACCTGCAGGTTTCTAGCCTAAGCTGCTCATGTTATATTAGACCTGCTTATATTTTATACTGCACTGACAATATGTAGATACTGTATTGGCAATAAGTTCAGTCATAATGACCCACACGATCAGTGCCACACATCTCACACCTGACCAAGAGTGCTCTCTCTGAGCCTGCCGCAATCCCCAGGGTTATCTGGGCCAAAGTACCCCAAGGTAACGTGGCTGCTCTCAGACTGTCATCCATGACCATCCTAAGGGTGTCACTGCCTTCATGACAGGGGTTTAGAGCATTAGCTCTCCAATTCCAGTGGCAAGGGACAGGTGGGACTTCAAGTAGTGGTTAAGGGTGGCTATAAAAGCTCCAGGTGCTTCCCAGAGGTGGAAAGGATCCAGTTCTCTGTCCTGAAGAGCTTTACTGGGAGAAGAGGAAGACAGTGCAGGATCTCATGGAGTTTGCACCATGCCTGGGCAGGGCTCAGCTTTCACAGATTTCTTCCCTAAGAGATTCCTTTCCCTCCTTTATTGGTAAACAAGATGTGCCAATGCCAATCCTCGAGGTTCTTATGGCTCTGTAGGTTCTTCAAAGAGCTTCCCAGTTTCCCTTGGTCTTCTCAAGGTTTGTCTTCTGAAGAATATTTGGATGATTCAGTTTCTTTATCCTCAGCTGAAATCTCAAGGTTGGCAGTATCACTGAAGAAGAAACCACATCATTCCCATCATACAGGTATAGAAATTGCCTTTTTTTTAAATAGTATTTTTTTCTGCTTAACCTCTGTATTCCAGAACAGGAGAGAAATACTTTATGGAATCATACACCAATAAAAAAAGTAAATGAGGGCTATCATGAATAAGGCCATTTGGAGATCACAAAGTTCACCAGTTCAGTTGCCCTTCTTGCCATTTACACAGCAAATGAAGAAGAGTTTGCTGGTGCTTGGCCCTTCACTGACTCTGAATATTCTGCTCACTTTCTAGGTAGAAACCCTTGAATACACATATTTCTCTCAGTCACAAAAGAGAACACACCACAAGCTCTCCAAATTCAGCAAGTGGCCCAGAAATGTTGCAATCTGATTGTGGCAGTACCTATCTGAGAGCTCCAAGTGTGGAGGATGGGCTGGCCACAAGCAAAGGCAGCTCTGGGAGGGAGCACAGCTGCTACTCCTCCAACTTCCCAAGTGGGAATAACCCTCCCACCTGTTCCACCAGATCCAGTGTGCTGCTGGGGGAGCCCTCAGCTGAAGGGGCCTGGGGAGATGTTGGACACTAGCCTGTTGTTCAGGTGTGACAATCAGTGACCCATCAGTGACTCCATCATCACAGATGGTCACAGACGATTCATCCTTTTCCTTTTCTTCTTCCTCTGGGTTTTTTTCTTCCTCTTGCAGTATCTCCTCCTCTTCTGAAGGAAAGAATTATCCATAAATAGAAGGCAAGGCACATTGCCAATCCCATTGAAGCTGAGAAGTCCCACTTCCCCAACACTGGCCTGTCCCAGAAACAATGGATGCTGCTGCTCCTCTCTGAATCCTCATGTTCATTCTCACTCACAGGGCATCATCTCATCCCCTGCAATGCCACGCACATCCAACCCTGCCAAAAGCCCTTCCAGCCTCTCTCACAGCTTTCCCAAGCTTTTCTGCCTGGCCATCATCTTTCCAGGCCTACAGCAATGTGCTGGCAAGATCCTGGGAAAAGGATCCTGGGAAAAAGCCTAAATGGACTCAACTGCTCAAAACTCAGGAGGCAACCAGAGAGGCCAAAGTGTTGGTCTGGCAGCTCTGCAACTTCCAGGCTTGTGGAGATGGGTGTGAGCTGCCTGATGTGTGATGGCAGGGGGAAACCAGGGGATCTTCCTGGGAGCCAGCAGACAGTGCTCACCTTTCAGCTTCCTGGGCCGGTACTTGGTAACCCCAGGGAAGGTCCCCTTTCCCTTCAGGGTGATTTCTGCCGGTTCCAGATGAGCCACTTGGACCTGGAAAGTCTTGTGGAAGGCTCCCAGCTTTCCTGGCAGATAATAGACCTTCAACACTTGCTTCTGGCCAGGTGCAAGGGAACCCTGCAGGGACAGGAGAGGAGGAAGGGACTGCATCAGAGCTTTGCTGTGGGATGGCTCAGGGGACAGACAGGCTGAGGGGACAGGTTCTCATCCAGAAGAAACCATCAGACCACATCACTTTCTACCTTCCTTGTGCCCAAAAGCTGGCATCTCCACCCCTGGGGTGCAGTGTGTGCTCCTGAGCCTTCGCAGGGCTGCAGCCCCAGCATGGCTGGGGGGTTTCCCCCATTTTTTTCCCTCTTTTCCCCCCTTTTTTCCTTTAATTCTCTCCTGGGCTGCCTGACAGAGGGCCAGAGGCAATGACTTGTGCTACTCACTGTGGTGGGCACGACCACGGGCACTCCAGGCAGAGGCTTTGCTGCAGTGCCAGTGCTGCAGTTTGGCACCACGAAGGTGAATTCCATGACGCCGGTGTTCCGCAGGGTCACCTGTGCTTTGAGGGCTTTGTTAAACCTCTGCAGAGAGGACAGAGCAGGGAGAAGTTACAGACACAGGCCTGATGCTGGCAACCTCCTGCCTCTTTCATGGCACTGGAAGCACACAGCCACAGTGCAACACACAGCTACAGAGAGGTGGCAAAGCCTTGGAAAGGCCAGCAATAAATGAACCAGGGGACCAGGTCCTCTGCACTCTGAGGGGCCACCAACAGCCAGGAGAAACAGAGGAGGTGGCACTGAGATGTGTGAGATGAAGCCAAAAGCTTATGGAGCTAAAGAATGGAAGTTGTTGGTTCTGCATGTTGCTGTTTGCAGTTTGGATTTGTTCAGGTTGGTTTGTTGGGTGTTGCTGTGAGCTGGCAGAGGGACAGGGTTGAAGACATGACCAAAAGGAAGGAGGATGAGAGGGGAGGGGACAGAAAAGTTGGTGGTCAGAGAGAATGAAAGTTCCTGAGTGCCCCTCCAAGGGGAAAGGGGCCAGGGACTGTCCCAGCTAGGTACAGAGGGGATACAAAGATTGCCTTTTTGTTGGAGGGTGTGTTTGCTCCTCTCCGGGGACAGGGAGACACACACCCAGCTCGGCTGAATTGTTGCTAATGAACAGTTTTGTTTTGCTTTGACAACTTTGTCCCCATTGAATTGTATCTAAAAGTCAGTGCATTTCTGAGAGGCATTCCAGAAGAAAAGGCAGCTGCATGCAAATATTGGCAAGAAACAGACAGGTGACAAGAGAGACACACAGGACAACACAGGCAGTGCCAGCAACTGGAAGTATCTGTGGACTTTAAAGTGAAAAGAAGTAAAGTGGGGATTATTGTGGGACATTGTTTTCAGGTACTGAAGTGACTGAAAGCCCAAGTTCCTCCCTGGATGATTTTGTGGATCAAGCCAGAGCATTTGACAAGAGCATCTCCTTGGAGCTCAAGCTTTAGGAGCAGATCAGTGGGGGGGTATCCCAGGGACAGGTCCCTCTGGACATCTTCCCTGGGAGCCTTGTGCTCCCCAGGAGGCAGGGTCAGGTGCCTTGGAGAGGACAGTGTCCTGTCCCTCAGCCAGGGCAAGGGAGGGAGGGGTGGGGATGGCCATTTCAAACCAGCTGGGATGCTGGACTGTCTCTCACAGGTTGTGTTCCCAGCCCCAGAGCCAGCAGAGGAGCCGAGAGGGGGACAGAGCCTGGGATGGAGGTGGCCACAACGCCAGCCAAGGCAGGAGCAGCCTGTGGTACCTGCAGCCCCCAGTCAATCTCCTGCAGGTCCAGCTGGTAGCTGGGGCACGAGGCCTCCCCGGTCAGCACCACCTCGTAGCTGGGGCCTCCCTGCACGTGGCACAGCGCCCGGACACGCGCCACCACGTTGGCGTGCCCAAAGAAGGTGAAGGTGACCTGCTCGCTCTCTCCTGGCTGCAGCTCACCCCACAGCGGCCGCACATCAAAAACCTGCAGGGAGGGGAGATGGAGATGGTGAGAGTGGAAATGGATGCAGAAGAGCAGCTGTGTCCTGAAATAAAGCAGAATCACAGCCGGAGGGGCCTATTCCCCAAACACAGCCAGAATCACCCTAATCTCATCCTGTGTCCATGCCACTGACCAGTGGAGAGACCATGGGGAAAATCTTCTCCCATAATCATTTATCCATGAGTATAGACTACATTAAAGTCAACCAGAATGTCTCCTGGCAGCAAGAAATTCTCTCTGCTGCAGAACTTGTCTTTGGAAACACTTCTCACTGTCTTCAGAAAACCAGGAGACTTGGAGGTGGGAGCCCTTGGAGCTGGGGGAAGGCTCATCTGACTTCTGAGGCCTTTCTCCCTCTCTCTGACTTTATGTGCTGTTCTCTCAGGCTGCTACAGCCAAAGTTCCTACAAAAATGTCCTGAAAACCACCTGATGAGGTAAATGGGAGCAATGCCCTCCACAGGGGCTGCACAGGGAGCATCCTGGGGCAGCCCTACAAAACATCCCACATGGCCTCTCCAGCAACCACTGGCTTCAGCAGAGCTTTGTGATGGACTGGGAGGGATGTGAGGCCCCTCTGTGAGCAGTGCTGAGGGCCACCAGTGGCACTGGGGCTACAGAACCACCTCCCACACTGGAAACATGGATGTGAGACAAATTCCCACTTACCTCCTGCATTCCCAGCTTGGGGTGCTCCATCTCTGAGAACCAGCTCAGTCCCCTCATCCTCAGTGGCCTCTGAGACGCCCCAGGAGTGGATGACAGCCCCTGGAAAAAGCACCACAGGCTGCAGTGAGCTGGCTGCTGTGAGCAAGATCACTCTGCTGCAGGCTCCAGCACCTCCCACACCAGGAGCAGCTGGAAAGGGGCCTGGGCACAAACCAAGGGTGACAATGTCCAGGCCATCAGTCGAGTGTGGGTCCAAGGCCAGCCACAGATGAGACCTGGGCTCCATCTGCACTTGGTACATCAAACTTGCCTGAGGGAACTGGGTGCCCCCAGCACTCAGGCAGGGAGGGCTGGAACTACATAGTCTCTGAAAGTCCCTTCCAAGCCAAACCATTCCAGGATTCCAGGATGGCCACTTGAATTTCCCTGGTTTGCTTGTGCATACATGGCAACAACCAGGAAATAGAGATAATTTTTGCTTCTATTTGAAAACATTCAGCCACACTGTTCATATAGGGCTTTGTTTCTCCTGATTCAGAAAAACTGTGCAGTGTAGAAACAACTGGTATTTGTGTGTGAGCAGGTACAACCCTTCTCCAAAAACTTAATGCCAACACTGGGCTTTTGAGAAACTCTTCTGCTTCCTTACATCTTTTTTTTTAATTGCCCCATGAGCAGCCTCTGTTCCCCCTGATGCACAACAAGGGGCCACTTCCCACTCCAAAGTACTAATGTTCACCAGACAGATCAAAGGCCTTTTTCCTTGTTTGGAGGAAGAGACAGTGACTTTGCAAAGTCTTGCTTTACAAAAGACAGCTCTGGAGCTGTCACTGCAATACCAGCTTTTGGGTGAAGGCACAGATGTGAGTGCCCTAGCTGGGTTTGGAAGGGGCTACGTGGAGATCAGGACTCTTCATGGATTGACATACATGGGAAGCTGGAAGCCCTCTCATCATGATGCAGATAAAGACCTCATTTTACATTGTAAAGAAATTAAGCCAAAAAATCCCAAAGTCATCATAGGTCTGTAGGATCTGAGTGAGCTTCTCGGAGCAAAACTTTCCTATTTCCACCTCCCCAGACCCCCATGTCCAACTGCTACTTTCAGGGCACAGGACAGAAGGGCAGCAAAAAGGGAGGTTGGCATGAGTATGACTTTTTGGTGGCAAGTTGAGAGGAGGCAAAGCAAGTGGTAGGTGCACAAGAAAATCCACCTCTGATTTCAGGGAATGTTCTGCATCTTCTGGCTCCTGGTCAGAGTCCTCCTGAGCAGAATCCTCCTGGTAGGAGTCCTCTTGAGCAGGATCCTCCTGAGCAGGATCCTCCAGGGCAGCATCCTCCTGGGCAGGACCTTCCTGAGCAGGATCCTCCAGGGCGGAATCCTCCAGGGCAGAATCCTCCAGGGCAGAATCCTCCAGGGCAGGACCCTCCAGGGCAGAATCCTCCAGGGCAGAATCCTCCTGGACAAAATCCTGCCTTGTTTCTGGGGTTTCGGTCGGCTCCTCCACGCTTACAGTCCTGGAGTATCTCCGTAGAAACACTCTCCTCTTCTTTGAAAACCGTGGCTTGAATTTAGGTGGTGAAGGGATGAACCTGGAAAATAACATAACTGTGATGGTGGGCCTGTAGTGGGGGAGAGAGGTGCCTGCAAGAGCAGCTCCTCACTGCGCTGCAGCCCCTGGCTGGGTGCTGGTGTGCTGAGCTCAGTGACAGCCACTCAGAGCCAGGCTGGAGCAGCTCCATGCTGGGAGCAGCACGGGGGTGATGATGCTCATACCTGATGGTGTTCACCTGGCTGTCTGTCAGGAATGACCAGTGGTAGTTGACAGGGAGTGGGCTGCAGTTGGTCATCTCCATATTCAACTCTTGTTCAGTGTCATTTATGATGCAGCCAAAGTCCACGGCCTTGGTGGGGAGGTGGAGATTTGGGAAGTAGACTTCCCCCCGAAGAGGGATCTTCTCCACATGAGGATGCTCCATGAAGCTCACCCTGAGAACCTTCTTTATCACCCAGCTGATCAGATTGTTCTTATAAGCTGGGTTAAAGCGGATGCAGAGATGAAGTTCCTTCCCTACACCCACTGTCAAAGGCTGCAAGGAGATGAGCAGTAATTAATCACCTGTGGGATGATGTCCCAAGGCCTGACAGCAGCAAACAGTAAATGCTCCAAGTGAGCCCAGCATGGGCTCCTCAGTTCATGGTTCATCTCTCTACAGCAGGGGTCTGACTGCAGGCACCACAGTCCAGTCCAGGATCCCTCAGGCTCCCGTTGCTGTGCTCAGCCCCAGTCCAAGGGGGTGGCTGCTGGAGAGCTGGCATGCTTTCCAGGAGACACCTTTACTGCATGGCTTGCCTCAATCTGCTTTCCCGCTCCCCTCTCCTCATGTTTTAGAGCCAGCATGGATGTTACCAATTCAGATAAGATTTTGATTCCTTCAGCAGCTCTGCTGATTCAGTTCAGGCCAATCCACTGCTGACACTACAGAATGAGCTTCTCAACTTGAGGAGCTCCCAGCAGAAGTGCAGCACCACATCCCTCCTCCTCAAACCCCACTGCACAAGCCCACAGAGGCTCACCTTGCAATTTGCAGGGAGGGGCTTCCGGTTCACATTGCAGACCAGGAAGGGCTGCTCCAAGTCCAGCACCACGCTGAATGGCAGGGAGCTGGTGTTTTTTAATGTCAGCGGCTGGTACTGCAGTTTCAGGACATCACTGGGTTTCTACAGAAACAGGAGACAAGGGAACACAACCTCAAGTGCCATAGACCTCCTTCCCTTTCCAATGCATTTCACATTTTTCAGCCCCAAAAGTGCATATATTTCTATTTACTTCCAGCCAATTTAAGAGTTACACCTTTTAATGCCAGGATGCAATGGGGTGACTTTACCTTTTCCACACGGAAAGCGATGGCTCTGGGGGACATTTGCACTGCAGGGCAGATGAAGTTGCAGATGACATCCGTTTGCAGGATCTGTTTCTTTGCTGTCTCTTTCCCCACCACAGCGTGGCACAGCAGCCGCTCCTTCACCTCCTGCACACAAAATTCCCTTGTGTCCCAGTGTGTGCTGGCAGGCCCTACACCCCACACTGCCTTGCCACCCACCCATGGGCCCCATTCCTGCCACTTGTTATTAGGGACTGAAATTAGTCTCTGCTCTCCTCAACAGCTCTCTTTTCTTTCTGTGCTGCCATCTATTTATTCTAAATATCTCTGCCCAGGGGTCCTGGAGCCAGGGAATGCATACCAGACTTAGCTGGCAGCTTCTCTGCAGAGTTTCATTTCCCCTGGAAAGAACAGTCCAGGTAGGAGAACACTCCCAGACTCTGCTAAAATCTCCCCCTCTGAGTTGCTCTCCAGGGGTGCTGCAGAACCTGGCTGTCCCTGGGACACCAGGGCTGGCTGAGAGACTGGGGCAAGCAGTGATAGAAAAGTTGACCAAAGTCAAATTGTCAATTCTGATGATCCCTGTGAACAGTTTCCTGCCTGGATGGACATTGCACTGATCATTAGAGCTAGCACACTATGTTTTCCCCCTCCAGGACTGATAACTAGAGCAGCCCTGTGCCCAGGTTTGTCTTCAGAGGAAAAGCAATGCTGCTCCCAGATGCTCCTGCTATTCCCAGGGCATTTGTTTTACTGCCTGGGTAAAGGGTTTTTCCCTCAGAAAAAGCACTTGACAGTAGTTTAATTTGCTTCCTGCCTGGGCTTCTAGCCTAAGTGCAACTTCTTTTCTCTGCTCTCCCTTTCTGCCTCAGCACATGACACAGGTAAGCCCTGTTTGCCTAAAGGAGCAGTACTTCCTTCAGTCTGTATTTTGGGATCAGCAAGTTGGGTTTATGGTAGCTAGGGAAACACAAAAGAGCCTTTACAACTGATGGTGGCCAGCAAGGAAAGCAACTGGCCTTGAAACAGTTTCTTGAAGTCACTTGCTCCTTGTGCCAGGCCAGTGTCAAGGGGCTGCAGAAGAAGCTGCAGTGGAGGGGATCTGATGGGAAGGCTCAGCCCTGGGCAGGGCCTCACCTGGACAGTGCTGGAGCAGCCTTCCAGCACCATGTCCACAGTCTGGCCCGGCCTCAGGTCCACCTGCACTGGGCACAGCTTGAACACGGGGCTGCCAGGCCTGGGCATGGGGGGAGCCCCTTTGCCCTGGGTGCCCGCGGGGGCCGGGGCCCGAGCGCTGCGGCGGAAGGTGCGGAACCCTTCCGTGCTCCAGTAGAGCCGCTGCGTGCGGCGGCCTCTGTTCGTCAGCTGGAAGTGGTAAAAGCAGCGACTAAAGCTGCAAGAGAAGAGAGATGGAAAATGTCACGGGAGCTGCTATTTCCCTGGCATCACTCAGCTTCAGCTTCACCCTGATGGCATTCCCTGACTGCGCACTCTGCAATAAAACCTCTGCCCAAAAGGCTGCCCAGGCTCAAAGCTTCAGTCCTGCCAGATCTTCCAGCTTTTCCATTTCTGTGGCTTTCCAGGATATCTTGATATTTGACATATTTCTAAATAATTCCTGTGGTTTCATGGAAACAGAGCTGGGATCTTGAGTACTGAAGATCTAGCCTGAAGGGCTATGGAAAAATTGTTCCTTGCTGAACACACAGGAGATGTGGAAGTTTCTAGAGTCTCCTACCTGAAGCAGGACTTCAAGTCGAGCTTTGGAACGAGAGGTTTGTCCGTGACAACTGTGGTGCCAATGCCCACAGCCTGGAGAGAGATGATGGTCACAGGGTTGTTCTCAATTAACACCTTCACCTTCTCCTGGAATTTCACTGTGTCATTCAGGTTAGCTACGATAGCCACGGACACCTCAGAACGTGGGGGGACCACTCCTTTGCTGGGCTCAATCCTCCAGCAGGAACGTTCCACAGCCTGCAGGAAAAGCCAAACACAAAGTTAGATGGAAGCCATGGACCTCGCTCTGCTGTGAGGTGCAGAAAACGGGAAGGCTAAAGAGATGAGTATAAAAACCATAAACGTTTAATTTCCCTAAATGTAAGCTATGGTGTCCAGCACAGCAACTCCCCAAGAGCTTATACAACCTGTATTTTACCTTCCTTTAACATACTCGGGTCATTAGCCCTGTTTTGCTCAACCCAAGGGAAGCTCCTCCTCAGGAGAAGGTAATTCCCCCTGCTGGCTCTCTTTGGAATGCTTGCCAAGGAAAGCTGTTTACTCCCTGCTGGCTTCCTGGCAGCGGAGCTGGGTGTGCACAAAGGCTTATGGCTGGAGGAAGGCAGGACTGCTCAAATCCCAGCCCAGCAGCCACACAGCTGGAGGACACTGCTGAGAGCCTGTAGAATCACTCTGCAAAGCCAGCTGAGCAAAATCCCAAATCTCCTTTCCCAAGGGGCCATCAGTGCTTCTCAACACCCCTAAAGGACTGAAGCCCTCACTCCCCACCAATCATCAGCTGTAGGGAGGTGCCCCAGGGCCCTCTGCTTTGGAAAAGTCACCTCTAAGTGCTTATAGCAGAGCAGGAAAGCAGGAAGCAGAAAGAAAACTGGACAACATGTGCTCTGTGGGCATGGCCCACTCTTCCCAAGAGCTCTTGTCATCTGCTTTCTCATGGACTTCATGGACTGAGCAAGGGAGCTGGAAGGTGCCCAAAGGAGGGGGAAAGGCCTTGCACCAGCACAGCTGTACAGACACAGCTCTGCAGGTCTGGCCCTGGCAGGAGCATGTGAAACCCAGCCTTTACACACCATGAGCACCCAGCCAAGGTGCACTGCTCCCTGCAGAGGCTGAAAGCAGAACTCCATTGTGGAGTCAGGAAAAACTGCCCTGCCAGTCCTCCACTTTCAGATAATGTTTAACTCCTAAACAGCTGGAAAAGCAGCAAGAGGAAAATTCACGCCCCTCCTCCTTGGCCCAGGAGGCTGAGCCTGAACTCTCGCACAACACCTGATGATTTATCCACAAATACAAACAAGTCCACTTGATCAGGATTGGCTTTAACCAGCTCCAGAAGTTGAACTCATCCAATACACAGAAAATCAAATCTCTTTTCAAAGCTTTTTTCAAGCCTTCCACAGATGCCCCCTCCAGCAGGGAGCACATCCCACTCAGCCCCAAGCCACGTACCCTTCCTGGCTGCTCCTCCTGCCAGAGGAGCAGCTGCAGCTCCAGCCCTGCAGCTTGTCCCCCTGTGTAACCTCCAGGAATGAAACAACCTTCTCTGCAGGTGATCTCCAGAGCCATTCTGCAGTGCTACAGAGACCACAGGCTCTGGGGGTGCACAACCCTCACAGGTGCATTTGTTTGCAACAGCACCACTGGTTTGACCCACAGGAGTTGTGAAACTTGCCTCCTCGTGAGCAGTTTGAGGGCAGATCTCACACCCTGCTTTCTGCCATTAACACAAGTCTGGCACAAACAAATGCAGATGGAATGGGGAGTCCATGGGGAAATCCATGCCCTCTTAGGAGCAAAGGGCCACAGGCTTCTCTTGATCTCAGAGCTCCAAAAACATGACTTGCACAGCTCAGTATTTTCCATAAAATAAAGAGAGAACTTGCAAACATGATCCAGACTCATTTCTGCTCCAGTCTCTCTGCAAACTATTTCACAGAGGCGTGCCTGAGATCCTGGCTCCTCTTGCTTGCACTTGGATGGAATATCTTTCTTCCACTCACACAGAACAATACAGAAACACTACATACAAAAAACAAGTCAAGGGCTGCTGGTAACCAGCACCTGTCCCTGGAAAACAGCCCCACAAACACTTACCAGCTCCACCTGGAAGGTTGCAGGAATCTCACACTGATTGGCGAGGTGGAGAGTTTTGGAACAATCCTCTAGGACTGGGATAGAGCCGAAGTTTATCTCCCTGGGATGGACATAGACAACGGGGCCCTGGCCAACGCACTCTAAACGGATTTCCTGTTCCAGGAAGAAGGTAGGAAAGGTCAAAAAAAAGATGCAACAAAGGCAGTTTTAAAAAAAACAGCCAGCTCTAAGAGCATTCCTAGATTGGGGCCAATGATGGCCTTTGGAAGTTGTCAGTGGTGCAGACTGAAACAGAAGGCCTGGAGCAAGTGTGGGGTCTGCAGAGATCCCACCTGAAAGCCACAAGCCCCCATCATCAGAGGACAAAGCACTTCTGTTTGCCCTGCTTGCTTCTTCACACCTCTTCCACATGGCTCTTTCCTTTACCTCCTGCCTGCTTCATTCAAATGCTCCGCCTTGGCCCAAAGCACCTTCCCAACTTTTGCTGCTGCACAGCCATCCTTGAACACTAAGTTCTTTACAATTCAAAAAGCTGCACTGGTGAAAGCAGCACGAGCCAGAAGCAAGGCAGGCTCTTCAGAGTGGAGATGAGGCAAGTTAGCTGCCTTCAATTTGTGCTGATGTGTAATCTTCATATATATGAGTAAGGGGCATCAATTAGTAGTTGCATCATTCAAGCAGTATTTTGTCCTTAAAAAAAAGTCTGAACTGACTTCATAGTCTGAAACTCAAAAGGATTGTTCTTGCAGAAATGGCACAGATGGTGGGACAAGGAAAATGGATCCCTTTGCTAAACTACCTGCTCACACCAGTGGAAACCAGGACAATTTATTCAGTCTTGTTGTATTTCACTGGTCCTAAATACCCCAACTCTTACACAAGAATTAAATGCATACAACTCACAACACGAACAAGATTCGCTGGAGGGCTTGGAGTATGATTTAACCACAGAAGAAACCAGCCTCTATGATGTAAAACCTTTTGTGATGTCTGACTTGAGGGAATGGCATTGACAGCTGCCAGAATTACCTTCAGTCAGAAGGAGCAGCATCCAGAAATGCACATCCCTTTGGGACATGCATGCCTGTGCAAAGAAGAGCCAGAAACTATGTACCATGGCTGGTACCTCAAGAATAAGGAACTAAAGCCCTGCATGATGAGGGATCTTGTATTCCTCTGGGAGAAGGGAGGCCCAGGGGGCTGCAGCCTGGCTCATACTGCCCAAGGCTCCCTGGAGGAAGAAGCTGGAGGGAGGAGCTGTGCCTCACCAGCTGGCTTTGCTTCTAGGTGACAATGGGATAGAAGCAGCAGAGGCAGGGTGGAGCCCTTTGGAGATGAGCAGAGTAGCACCTGGAGGATGCCTGACCCAGCTTCAGTTGGGGTGTGACAATGGGACAGATCCTCACTGAGGAAAAGGCTTATAAAAACACACAAGCCCTTCATCTACAGGATTCTTAAAAGGGACAAGAGCAGTCCTGCTCAGCAGTGTCACAGGCAGTGTGACACACAGGAGGGAGAATAAAAGCAGACAGCAGCTTTGTCTTCAGTGTTGCTGCTACACACACACATCCACATCCTGCAGCACTGCTGCCTTTGTGGGGTGCTCATGGCACAAAGCAGACTGTGGAGGGATGAAGAGCATCCATGTCTGGCAGACTGGGCCTGTATTTTGTAGTCACTTGCTGTTATGATATGTGCCTCTTTTAGGAGCTCTTTTAGAATCTTCTTTACAATCCTTAGAATCTTCTTCAGAATCTTCAGAGTCCTCTTTTAGGAGGCTTTAGTTCGGGAAATTGCTTGCCTTATCCATTTCCAAACTTGGTGGAAAAAACAAGCAAAGCCTGTGCTCCAGATGCAAGTTGTGTGGGCATTCATTTGGTTTTGGCTGGGCTTTTCTTGAGGAGATATGCTGGGTATTTCTCAGGCCTGAGGGACCTGGCTTTCAGAGAAGCCTCAGTCCAGCTCTGCACAAAACATTCCTTTAGCAAACAGTGCTTGCTTTAGCAGGATTCAGGGATGTGATGCTGAACAGCTGTAATGAAGCAGCACTTGTGTTCATCTGATAACATGGTAGAGTATGAGACCCAGGGACTGGTTTGGGTCTCAGCCTGGGCTTGTTATCCCGTCTCCCAGATTTGTAACTCTATGCTGGGTCAGGCACTCAGATTGCCACCTGTGAGGCTTCCACTCTTCCTCTTTCCTAGGCATGAGCTGCTGCTTGTGCCACCAGTCCCCTCTGTCCTTGTCCACACCAGCCATAAATCACAAGCTCCTGGAAGAATCCCTGTGCAGTTTAACCCCACTGGGAGGAGTTGCTCAAGGCACACAAGTCCCCTTGCTCTCACCAGTGGGGATTCTGGTCTTCCAAACATGGCCAGCTTGGCAGTGAGGCTGCACTTTCCCAGCAACTGGGCCTGGAGTGTAATTGGGATCTGCACCGAGCTGTGAGCCTCGATAATCCCAGAGGGTGCAAGGCTGTAGTACCACGCAGCAGCCTCCTCCTTGTGTTCCTGGCAGGGACAGAATCAAAGGCATCTTCAGAACTGAGGAAACTTTAAACTCCTTAACCTCTACCACAAGTGCAACTCCCACACGCTCGTAAAAATTCTCAGGAGAAAGCAAGAAGGCAAAAACCAAGATGCAAGGTGTAGGTGCTCAGCATCCCCAGGGGTCCAAAAGCTGCTGCATCCACAAACACTCCCTTGGCTGCTGACAGCTTCCTTGCATCAGATTTTCACAGCCCTCGAAGCTCTGCCACTTGAAAACTAGTCAAGGACTAGACTCTAAACACCTTCCTCAAGATGTTAAACTGCTTCCTAAAGTTTGTATTTAGGTTCCTGTTCTCAGAAAACCTTTAGCTTTGAATAGAAACCAGCAAGGTCTTATCCAAACCCATTTATTCCCCTAATAACCCCCCCAGTAACATTTGAGGGGAGGAGATGGATGCAAGGCCAAACCTGAGGGAGAAGACAGTAGCAGCCAGGGAAGTCACTGTCATTCACCAGGGTCACCTTCTCATCATAGAGCACCTTCAAGCAGCAGTGCCCCAGTTCCACGACAGGGTTGAGCACTCGCAGTGTAGGAACGATGCACCTGGGCAAAGAAATGACCCCAGGGGAATGAGAGACACTGGGAGCATGGAGAACTTTTGTCCTCCAAGAGCATACAAGGGAGTGTAAGGTATTTGCAAATCTAACAGAGTAGAGTAGTAGAGCAGTCCTACAGTAGTCCAGAGCTGTCTTAGCAGTGTTGCCCCTTCTCTGCCCAAGGATACTTGCAAGGGCTCCTGTAACAGTGCCAGTGGTCCCTGAGCTCTGGGGGAGCCTTTCCAGTGAGGACCAGTGCCCACCAAGGCTCAAGGAACACAAGACTCCAGTGTATCAGTGATAATGACTCCCTTTTCTCCTCCAGCACTGTTGTCCTGCCTGAAAACTGAATCATCTCTTCCAGCGGTGGAGGGCACAAGGCCCACAGTGCAGCTGATCAACTTCTTCCAGTTCCTAGAGCTCCCTCAATTCCTTCCCCCATGGATCTCTACACTGACTGTCCCCATTTGTGCTTGCTTTACAAAAGGGCAGCCCAGGCACTGACTGGATGGCTCTGCCTGGGAGAGGGAACAGCACCAGGGAACTGCATCCCTCTTGGCACTAAACTGACACCCACAGCAGCACAGCAGGGTGAAATTCTGCTGCAGCAAGAACAACTTTTGGTCTCAGCTCTGAGAACATGACTCAATAGAGCCAGAGGGAAGCAGTGAAAGCTGAGGTGACCTGCCACATCAAGGACTACAGTCCTCTTTGTAAGGCCTTTTGCTCTCCCCACTCCTGCCTGGAGCCTCTTCCCCACTGCACATGTACTGCTGAAGGGACCCAGACCCCAGCTCTCAGCAGGCTGCTCACTGTGTTCCAAACCACTGCTGCAGGGTGGTCACAAGCCAGCATAAGTTCACCACTTGCAGGAAGAAGGGCAGGCAAGCCTTTGGAAATTTGTTCCAGCTCAAGCACCAAAGCCCAGGCCAACAATTAATGTTATTCCTTCTCCCTTTAGAAAAAGGCCTAGGGCCATGGCTGGCTGTGAGCAGGGGGGTATCTCACTAAGGGCTGCTTTCCTGGCACTGTTCTCATGTCTAGATGGGCAGATCCAGCTCATGAAGCAGCACTGCTCCTTTGGAGCTGCAGCCAGGCAGTGTGCTGGTGCTGGATGCACGAGCAAAGACAAGCAGGTGCAGGAAAGGTGTTGGTACCTGGCTGTGAGGGGCAGTGCAAACACCTTCCTGCCAACATCTTCCGCGTCCAGCACCAGCTCCAGATTGTAGTCCCCAACAGTGTTGGGACACAGGGTGACCTGGCAGAAAAGAAATGAAGTGCAGCAAGTATTTGCTAACTCCCAAAATTCTCATTACCCATGTGTGCTGTCCTCCAGCTCTTGTTCCATGGTAGACAAAGGGAGAATTGTCCTTTAATTCTTCTGCTGGTCCATAAGTAGAGCAGCAGTCTTTGAGAGTAAAAAAAGCCCTCTGGCAATATGAGATTTGCTAAAGGGACTAATTTTTCACCTGACTACAATGACATAAATGCAGAAGAAGTCTGTTGTCTTGAATGGAACAAGTCCAGCCTTATAGCAGGAAGCTGAGGGCAGAGTGTGGCCCAGCACATGCTGGGCAGTTTGTGGCTGCAGAGTATTTTCTGTCCCCACTGAAGATTCCTGCAGTGAATACAACTCATCTGCTGCCCAGGAGATGAGAAACAAGACCAGGAAGAAAAGAAAACTGCTTTCCACAATGATATCTCTCTCTTTAACAGCAACTTTCTGTTTTCATCCTTCCTCTGCCCACTTGCAATCAAATAAATTGTTCTCAAAAACACAAGAATGGCTTCAGGACTTGACCATATGGTATTGATCTCAGTGCAGGATTTTGGAAACAAAACAGTGCTCCCTGAGGAACATCCTGGGTAACCCAGCTAGCAGAGGCCTCCCAGCAGTGCAGATCTCTCACTCCCAGGATGCTCAAAGCTGGCACCAGAGCTAAAGCCCTCCCACACTCCAGTGAAGCCTCAGCCCCAGCAGCTGGACTCTTCCCATACCTTGATATCCTGGGATCCCAGGGCACGGACGGTCCCGCTGGGGGGATTGATGGTAAATTCCTGTGGCTTTATCAGAACTTGAACTTCCTTCCTCCACAACTGGCTGCTGGGTTTTCCTATCTGAGTAGTGCTGCTAACACTGGGCACTCCCAAGCCATCCCCAGGAATGTAGAGGGAGAAGCCCATGGGTGTCAGGGAGGTGTTAAACAGGCAACACTTCAAGGTGTGAGGAAAACCTAAGAAAATGACACAAATCCCCATTTAGGCATCAATACCTCGTGATTCCTGGTGTGAATATCCTGCTGGTAGGATAAAACTGTGCTTGGATTTTACTTCTTTGTTATCTGAACTACAGCTCATTGTAGTGGATCTACGGCTTGGCTGGCCAGCTATGTGTGGAGCAGACATCTCCCAGCCTGCTTACCAAGAGTCATTTAAACCCAGATGGGGAGGAAAAACCAACTGCAGGCACAGCCCAGGGCTTCTCCATGCCCATCAACAGTGACTGCAGCAGGGAGGCAGGAGAGGCACAAAAAGGATGTCACGCTCTCAAATGCCACTGAGGTAACACATGCAGACAACATTCAGCAGCACAGTTTAAAGAAACAAAGATAAAAGAGCTGCCCCCAGCTGAAGAAACCTTAGGAATGAAATCAGATTAAGCAGGATGAATCTATTACAGAACCATATTCCTGCCTGGTGCCTTTCGTTATTGTGCCACTTACTAAAAGGGAAACAAGAAGTGGCCAAACAGTGATGCTGACTTTTTATTCCTTTGGTCCTGTTGGATCTCATGATGGCAAAAGGGTACCTGAGGCACCAGCAGCCCTGGAATGAACACCCTGAAGAGGCTGTGGTGGAGGAACACGAGTGATGAATGCTCTTATGTTCAAGGGCTCCATTTCAGCACCACAGCAAGCTCTGACACTGTGGTGCCAGCCCAGGGCACACTCACCAAAGGCGATGTCACCGAAGTGCAGGGCGGGCACATCAAAATGGAAAGTGGGTCCCATCACAGAGCCCCTGCAGGGACAAAGGCAGGGAGGCAGTGCCTCTGTTAAAGGCAATCACAAAGGGTTCGGGTGTCCTTAGGGAGAGGGTGGATAAATGCTGCTGTCAGAGCCACCCTGGGTTTCAAATCACCCCAGCACCCTGTGCTCAGCACAGCACCCACGGGGGCAGGAGGCAGCCAAAGCAAAGTGCTCAGCAGCTGACAGATGCCCCAGTCCTTGGCACAGTTCCTGCTGCACAGTTCCTGACTCCCACATCAGCCCTTTGCTGGCTGTGCAAAGGAGGCACCAGAGCCCTCTGTGCACAGGAGCTGGGAGCACAGCTTGTCCCCACAGCATGGCTGGGAGAGGGGAGCTGAGGCTGCTGCTGCCCATCTGGCAGGGATTATGAACAGGAGTTTTTACAAACACTTCTGCTGCTGCAGAATCACCCAGGCTGGTCCATCTCAAAGCCCTGCGGGCCTTGCTTGGTGTTCAGGTGGGACATCCCAGAGCAGCTGCTGCCCAAAGCTGATCCATCCCACTGCCTGCAACAGCCTAAGCAGGAGCCATCCCCGCAGGGAGGAGTCATTGCAGCTCCTGGGTACCACACAGGGCAGCAGGCAGCCTCACGCTAAAGGGATGCCAGAGCCAGAGCCACCTCAGGCAACACCTTTTTTCTCTGCTCCACCACAAAATGAGGCAGATGGAAGATGATTACCCAGAGACAGCTACAGATGTGCCCAACAAGCTCCCAAAGCCCTCCTCACCTGACAGTGAAGATCACAGGCTTAGGGGATTCAGCCACATGGAAGCAGAATTGTTCCTCAAACTCCCCCCGGATGGTGGGACAGAAGGAGACCCGGATGGCCTGGAGCTTCTCTGGTGCCACGATGCCCTCCTGGGGCAGGAAGGTGAAGCAGGAGCCCATGGCTGTGGTTGGAGGGATGAGTTTGAAGGGAGCCTCAATAGGCCCCTTGTTGATCAGGTATGCCTGCAGCAGCAGAAAAGCAAAGTGGAAATACATGAGGAATGTTCCTTTCCTACAGAAGTCTGAGTCACTTTCAGATTAAACTATTAACACCAGTAAAAGACAGAAGATGCCTTGTGCTGCTGCATGGCAGAAGCCAAAAATACAACTGTGAAATACAGCTTTGTATAGCTTTGGGTGTTTCATTCAAAGCAGTGATAACTTCACATAACCAGAGCCCCTCTGGGGTTTTCCCACTGGCAGAGACAGTCCAGTTTGACCTGCAGCACAGAGGGGCTGCTCAGCATCACCCAGTTCATTCACACCTGGCCCTAAGAGCAGCACTGGGCATCACAGCATTACAGTGACATCACCACAGAGATTTCAAACGTGTCCAACCCCACCATGGGCAGGGCACGTTCAGCTTCCATTGCAGCCCAACCTGTTTACAGCAGGAGTGGGAGAAACCAGAAGCAAAGATGTAGGAAGTTCCTTGGCTTCCTGCCCAGAAACACTTTGCTCTTTCTAGAGCCAGAGGTACATCATGGCTGAAGTGTGGTGAGGGGCTGGTCAGCAAGGGAAAGCACTGCCAAGGGCTTTGACCAGCGCTGAGCCAGGAGGGTGGATGGTTTTCCTCTGACTCCCACGAATATGCAGGAGGGACATGGCTGAAAACTGTTTGCAATGGACTTGAACTCAAATGCAGCCAGTTTGTTCCAGCTGCTTTTGGACAGCCTGAGCACAAAGGTGATTTGTGTCTGGGACTGGAACAAAAGCCTCTGAACATGCAGCTTTTTGACCCAGTGTTGGTTTCATGTGCCAAGTGGTTTTGCAGGAAGCCTCCCAGCTGACCTCCAAAGAAGGCTGCCCAAAAGCAGGGCCTGGGGTCTCACGAACAACAGACACACCTTTCTGACCCCATCCAAAAGATCCAGATTCCAAGAAATCCCCCCAAAATTGACTAGCATCACAACTACCCAAGTTGCCAGGAATTCTACAGGTCCACAAGGCTCACTGCTACCCTAGGAGCCAGCAGGACCCACCCCAACCCTGCTGCTTACCTCATATCTGTGGGTTACTCTGACAAAAACCTCCCCAATGTTCAGTTCCTCAAAGTGGAAATGGACCCGGGGCCCGAGGCCTTCCCCCATGAGGAGCAGGGGCAGCCTGTTCTCACGGCCTGGGGAGAGATTTCTATTTCAGTACAGGAATTCCTTCTGCTCTCCTGCATTTTCCAGACTGCCTTAGTGCTAGTCCCTGACTCTGTGCTGCATGGGACCAGCTCCTGATGTCCCAGGAGCAGATATGGACCCTTCCCTTCCCTCAGGAGATGCATCCATACATGCATAGACACCATCCTTTCTTCTACCCTTATGTTGAGTGTGGAACTTTAGGAAATGCCAGAAATTTTGTTCTTCCTCCTTCTGAGTGCACCTCAGAGTGTTTTCCCCAAGGGAGGAGAAGCAGACTAAATACAGGCAGCATTCAGAACAGCTGAGAGGGGAAAAAATCAAAATAGAGGAGATGCCCTGGAAGCTGCAGGGACAGTGGGCATGTGCCAGCAGTGCCCTGCTGAGCACAGACCCTCCCCAGCCATGGCACAGGAGCCCAGTGATCTGGGGGAGTGTTTGCAGCTGCCTTCACTGCAGAGAGGGGCAGGGGAAGGAGCCATACCTGAGATGTCACAGTAAACTGTTCGCTCATAGACCTGGGCTGCCTGGGGCGTGAAGAACACGCTGATCTCAGCCGAGCACTTCGGCATGATCTCACCCTCCTAAAGCAGAAGGACACAGCAAAACCTTTATCTTCAGACACCACAATTCTTGTTTTCAACCACAGTCCTGTAAGCTGTTATCTAGAGCATCAGTGACAAGCAAGGAGTGAGTAACACTCATCAATAACACTGAGAACAGAGTTTGGAAGCTTTAGTCAGGCTCCTGCTGCCTGCCAGGAGCCCACAGGGCAGAAATGCTTTTTGCAACCAGCTCTCTGACCTCACCAGAATCCCAATGACTTCTCTCTTGGCGCACAAAGCCAGCTGAGGCAGGGATCAGTCAAGTGACCTTACTCAGGGATGAGGAGCAAGAGGAAGGAGAGAAGCAGGAAGGGAGGTTCTCAGCCATCATTTACCTTTGGCTCAAGGGAGAAAATGTCATCATCTAACAGCATGGGATCTCCTCTGATCTTTGCTATCTCACTCTGGAAGGTGTGGTTGAGAAGAGCAAGGCGTTCTCGGCAAGTGATGCCCACTTCACGCTCCTTCAGAAAACTATACAACTTGTGCCTTTGCTGCTGGTATATCCTGTGATACTGCCTGCAGGCATAGGAAAGACAAACCCAGCAGGTTGTTTAATAAGCCACGTCTTTGCAGAGAGAAGTGGAAGTGCAGGAGCAGCTCCACAGCAAAGGGCTGACCCTGAGCCATGGGGTCCCAAATGGATCAGAGGGTCACTTGTTCCCTCCACACTTGCAAGCTCAGGAGAGCTTTCCAAAGCCAGCAGCCCTCAACAGAGCCTTCTGGCTCAAAGCCTCTGCCACAGCTGAGGGAGAATCCACCAGCCACCTCAGGCAGCTTTTCCTGATACACAACTGCTTGGGGGAGGCAGGAGAGATGGGCTGGTTTACTTACCCAAAGCCATTTAAAAGCACCAGTACCTCCTGAAGCCATATGTTAGTTTTACCCTTGGGCAAGGAATGTCTCTGAAATGGATCTTTCAAACCCACCTCAGCCTCAGCTGCTCCTCCTGTTCCTCAGTATCCACAGCCTTCCACTGGAAGCGGGCTGTGATGTCGCTGCGGTTGTGGATGACCACAGTTGCGCTGTTTGACATGGTGATGTACGTCTTCTCCAGGGTCGCAGTATTCCTGTCCAGCTCGATGTGGGCATCCACAGCTCTGGCATGAAGGCTTGTGTGGGTGTCTTCACCTGGAACAAAGCAGAGGGGAGTCTTTTCTCACCTCACTGGCTGATGGAAGCACAAGGAACAGAGCACACCACAGGCAGCAGAAGAAAGTGTCACAGCTTTTAGCTGAACGAGCAGTTCCATGGATCAGTCCATGGATCACAAGCTGAGAGCTGCATGTGCACAGCATGACGCTGTCCTGACAACCTGCCAGCATTTCACCCTCTAGAACAGACCCCTACCAAGGCTCCCTCATTTCCAGAGCTTTCAAAGCTTCATTATTCCCAGCCAGCTCCTGGGATGCATCTGGGCTCAGACTTCAAGCTCACCATTCCTGTTGCAGGTGAGCGTTACCCAGGCGAGATGCAAACAACAAATACCAGACATGCTCTCTAGAAATGGCATTTACATGGAGCTCTACAAGGATCAAGATGACAAACTACATGACTACAAACCAGATGACTAGAAAATGAACCCTATGAAAAGTATCATCATCTCCCTCTTGAAACCCACGGCCACACCAGCCTTTCTGCTTAGAACAGGCTCTGCTCTGAGGGATGCACAGAGTGCCCTGTGCACTGCCCAGCACTCACCTGTGTCATAGTGCACAACAAGGGACCTGGAATGGTCACCAGTCTTCAGTGGCTGAAATTCCACTGCCACCTCCACGGCATCACCAACATCCAGAGTTCCCATGGCCGGAGTGACAGAGAAAGGGCTGCAACACAGAGACAGTAGGACTCTTGGTGGAGATTTGGGGACGTTAACCCTTTTGCAGTCCAGTTGTGCTCACTTGTGCAAGCAAAGAGCAAACCAACCACAGTCAGCAGAAGACAGAACAGACAGGGTCAGAAACAGCCACTGACTCTAGTGTGAGGAGATCCAGCCCTCACAAGATCCTGTGGGATGAAATGACCTCATCTCCCCCATACTCTGTATCCAGCTCTCTGCAATGAGGCTCAAGGGTCATTTGCATCTTGCTTACTCTCATCAGATATCAGCTCCCCTTACTGACAGAGCTGGGCAAAAGTTATGGCCATGGATACCAAGGACCAAGTACTCCTAACATAATTTAGAAACAGAGCTGACCAGTGAGCAAAGCTGGCAATTTTGTGACCAAGTCTCTCAAAGCACCATTCACCTGCACTTTTGGTAGATGCTGTATGCAAGGAGGCTGCAATCTGTTTCAAGTCCCATGGTACAGTTATCTGCTTCAGCCAAACGTTCTTTTGTCCACTGGTGTCTTAAATGCCATTATTAAATGATTTGATTTTGGGAGAATTGATCTCATTAAAAGCTGCCTCCCTCACCAAGGAAGACAGAAAAATTACTGCTAATTGAATTGCCTCATGTGTCCACTAACACTTACTGCAGGAAGAAACCCAAATATGATCTCATCTTAACATCTATTACTTTCAAGTGATGGTCAGTTAATGCTGACGTCTAACAGCATTAACTGTTCTAATAAATTCAGTCTGTTAGGTTACAGCAGCTCCAGCTCTGTGCTGAAAAATTCTGTCCAGAGTCAGCAGCTCACAAGCTCCATCTTTCCCTCTGTCACTGCATCTAGGCTCTATTTCATCTACTTCAAGATTTAATTCCTGAAGTTCAGAAACTCTTTAAATCCCTATCAAGCAGGATCCAACATGCTCTGTAGCACTCAACAGAACTGCTGGCAAGCACATTGTAAAGGGATACCAGACGTTATTGAGGATTTATTTTGGTGGTGACAAAACAAGATCTGGAAATCCCAGAGAAAAACCGTGCATGGATTTACAAGTTCCTGCCTACACGTTTGCCCAGTCCAAAGCAGCAGCCTGTTTGAGCAGCATCTGAGGAGCCTGGATTGGAGCTGCCAATAGCTCTGACAGGCTTTGGTGGAAACTCCTCTTGGACCCTCCTGTTTCACAGCAGAAAAGTCAATTTGCCTTTTGACCTCTGTTTTGCCAGAGAAAAAAAAAATCAAAGCCACTCAGCTGCCTGAGGTTAGACAGCAGGTCTGTGCTGCATTCCTGACCTCAGCTCCTACACCAAGACCTCTGGGATCACACAACCCTCAACACACCACCAGCCAACTGAACTGGTTTCCTTGCAGGTACGGTGTCAAAAATGCATTACCCTCTCCAGTTCAGCCAACAGGAGAAACAGTGATTGTCTTCTGAGACTGGCAGGAACAGCACAGGCTGCCCACAGCACAGCTCATGTTGGGCATCTGATGCAGGGACCACTGGAAAGCCATGTGCCTGTGGCCTCCCAGAGAATGGGTCTATTTGGCTGACAGTTGTGAGTAAGCATTTCAGAAGCTGCTTGTGCTCAGGAGGGTGCAAGCCAGCTACCAACATGTTCCAGCACCCTCCAGGAAATCTGAGACAGAGAAAGCTCAAAGGCTGCATCCTGCTAAGAACACTGAAAGCAAAACACGTTGCCATCCATCCTGCTCACTTCCAGCCAGGGCTGCAGGGCAGCAGCTCTGATGCTCTGGTTCCTTTTGCTGCTCTTTCCCAACTCTACCATCACCCTAAGGTGACAGATATCCTTTGCACAAGGACAGATGAGCTGCCTCACCTCTGGGTGCTGAGCTCGTAACAAGCAGGCCGGTTTCCAACATTGTGAACCAGCAGAGTCTTCTGGGTGCTGTACTTGACCGGACAGGTGGAGAAGTCCAGCTGGTCAGGAAAGTCCAGGATGGCTCGAGCACCAATGGCCCAAACTGGTACAATGAACTCTTCACTTTCAGTGGTGCAGAGGAGCTGGTGGAAATAATCCTGTGGCAAAAGAAACTGTCTCAGCACAGAGCCTTTATCTCCATCTTTAGCATGGGCAAAGAGTATCTCTCAGTTCTAGATCCTCTGAAACCAGAACAAGTCCTCAAAAGTCAGGCCAGATGCCCTGAATCCAGCCTTGCAGGTCCAGTTTCCACTGAAAACAGCAACCTCTTGGGCCCTCGAGACTGACCTTTTTCTGCCCAGGGGTGAAGAGGATGCGGACAGTGGTGTAGAGGCCCGGTGGCACCTTGCGGCACGCGTCATTGGGGCCCACCAGCTGGAAATAAGGTGAGCTCTTCAAGGTGACCTTCACCAAGTGAGGAACCTGCAGGACAGACATGGAATGATGGTTTTGCCACTTGTGATGGCACAGGTGGACATGCCCTGGTGCCATCCTTAACCACCCTTCTCTGCTCTCCTCTTCCAGCACAGTGTTAAACCTCCAGTCCCAGCACTCACCTTGTCCCTGTTCCTCAGAACCAGCGGCACTTCACAGACCTCACCGGGGCTGTAGTTCTGAAACACCACCTCTGGTGGGCAAGGCTGAAACGAGCGCTGCTCTGGGACAGCTGCTGAGAACTGCAGGGAGAGGCCAGAGAGAGCAGAGACAGGTTCAGCTGCTGGGAGGAAGATTCTGCTCTGATCCCCAGTGAAGTGCAGACTCCGGGTGAGCACATCTGCCCAGCCCACACTGGGCAAACAGTGGCTCCTCCACCTCTGCCCTGGGCTGACCAAAAGCTCCTGGACCAGGCTGAGCAGGCTCAAGCCAAGCTGCTCTTCTGGCATCCTCCTCAATTATCACATCAAACAGCAAGGGCAGGGAAAGGCTACCTTGTGATGGGAGGTCCCAGGCTTGTCTTGAGGCTGGACAACCTGAGGCAGACTCAGCTTCTTAGCTCTGGCCAGCCTCTGCTTGGTGCTGAGAGACATCTCCTTCTGGAAGGCAGAGGGAGTCAGCTGGAAGGCAAAAAAACAGCAAGAGTCTCAGAAATGCTCTTGCTCATGGAGGCTTTTCTTGTTCACTTACTACTGATGAATGATTTGTGATCACAGCCACTAGCACAGTTCTGGAAGCCCTGGAAGTTTCCTGCGGAAATACTTAGCACCAATGAGTTAATAATACAGAGTGGAATACACATACTCCAGCCACATGGCTGTGTCCCATGAGTCTCTCTGTGATTTGATGGGACATGGTTGGGGATTTCTGCCCTTTGGGCATTTGTTTCCTCTTACTTTTCCCTGGATTGAGGCAGTGACCTTTCAGAGAGTGGGGAGGAGCTCTCAGAACTGCCCAAACTCCATCTCTGCACAACACTCAAAACTCACAGCCAGGAGATAGCACTGCTGGCTGAGTCCAAGGGAAGCAAGCAAGAAAAGCTGTACCAAGAGTGAGGTGCACAGGAATGTGTCCAAGTTTTAGCTCACTCTGTCAATTAGCATTGGTTTTCTCTGTCTGGGCTGACAGAGCCCTGGACAGAAGAAAACAGAGGGATCTCCTTGGCAGAGCCTCAGCAGTGGGGCATCTTCAGCCAAGTGAGCTGCAGACAGCAAGGGACCTTTGTGGCCCTGGCTCCATCCAGCGCTGCCTGCAGGGCTGCATCTGTGCCCACCCAGGAGCTGGGAGAGAACAGCTGCCTTGGGAGCTCTTCCAGCTGGGACCAGCCGTGGCTCTCAAGGCTTTGGGCAGAGTTTGAGCTTTCCCCCTCACATGCCCAGGTGCCCAAGGGCAGGATGGTCAGAGCAGCACAGGTGAGTGCCCAGCCTGACAGAAGGAATGGCTGTGGCAAAGGGGAATGAAAGAAGCCCATGCTCAGGGCTTCAGCTGTACATTGGTTTCACTTGGCTCTGCTGGCACAGCCAGGCAAGGCGCTGGGCTGTCCCTGACACATCCCACAGTGTTCCCTACTGCACCAGGACAGCCCCCAGCAACAGGAGCACGGCACAAAGGGCTGGGGAGGGGCTCTGCAGCTTCACAGCACTGCTGGACAACAGGGGCAGGGAGAGCAGGGACAGCAGGGCAGTTTCCAGCCTTAACACAGCCCCAGGGGCTACTCACAGAATCAGCCTTCAGTCTTTCCCTGAGCAAAATACGAGGTGTTGGTGTCTTTGGCACTCCAGAAGCCATTGAGAAGGGATGATGTCACAGAGGAGTGACAACGCCTCAACAGAACTGGAAGGAACAACAAGGGAACTCTGAAAATCCAGAACCCAATTCATGGCAGACTCAAGGGATGTACTGGTGCTAAAGGTTTTATATGATTTGAAAGCAGCTAAGTGCTCATTAGGCAGAAGTAGCTAGTGTTGTTAGGCCTCAAGTTGGACTTTATTGCAACTATATGGGTACCTTGGCAATTTAAAGATTGATTGTACTGAAACCTGGAGCTAAAATGCTGAACATTAATAATGCTTAGAACAAACAAAACTGTAGCTTAAATATTATTTAAAAACATCTTGAATGGACTTTCTCTTCTTTAGGCTAAATGACCTCTGCTCTCTCAGCTGCTCCTCACAGGACTTGTGAGAGACTAGAATGTTATGGCTAATGCCTTAAATATTGCTATAAAGGACTTTTTGCCCATTGTGACAGAATTGAATAAAGAAGCTGAGACCCCCCCAAATGCACCCTTCCCTGAAAATGCCTCCTGACTGGAACTTGGCACTGGGAGTTAAGCTGCCTAAGGGAACTTGAGGCAAAATAAATGTGACACTATTGTCCTGTTAGCTCAGGTCTGGGGAGAAGTGAACAAGGCTGAGGGAGAAAAATATATCCCCACTAAAGTCAAATCCAGCAGCTGTCCTGAAAATCAGCTCTCTCTGCCTTCAGGCTGGGGGAGTCATAGCCACAGACTCGTCTGCTGAGGCCAGGTTTGCACACAAACTTCCCATCAACAGAGGGGGAAGGAGGAAATTTTGGGGGTGAAACACAACCTCTGGTAAGGGGCAGTGGACACCCATCCTCCCTCAGACAAACTGGCTCAGCTCTAAAACCCCCCAGCCCCAGAAGGCCACATCCAGGGGACATTCCCATGAGGGGCAGCTGAGGGGGTGTCATAACCCAGCAAAGACCTCCAAAGTGCCCCCAGAGCCATTCCTGAGGCCTTGCACCAGATGACTGCATGGCATGCAGAGAAACACAACAGATCTGAAAATCCACAACCCAATTCATGGCAGACTCAAAGGACATACTGGTGCTAAAGATTTTATATTATTAGAGAGTAGTATAAGAGACAGAGCCAAACTTGCCCCATCCCAGGGAGGTACCTGGGCAGTCCCACCTTGCCAAATCTGCATTAATCCATTGGAGTCTCAGATTTTGTGAGACCTCACCACAAAGAAGACCAGAAGAGGACTGAATGGGATGGGACGGGATCCATGGAATGGTGATATTTTCTACTAAATCTGTCTCTGTCACTCTATTCCCTCCTTCCCAGCTCCCTTCCCCCCCCCCCCCCCCTTTTCTATTTCTTTCTCCCTCTCTCTTCCTCACATTTACTGTTCCATAAAATCCAAACTATTGACTTTGGCACATGGTCTCGTTTTGCACCTTAATCCAGGGGCATCTCCTTAATAATTTTAATAACCAGATTCATAACAACCCACTGAAACTTGAACATAACTCATTCACCTATAAGTAGTTTAAATACATACTATAGGAAAAAATGTATAGACTAGTATATTTAGGAAATGTTGCATTTTTTCGGTGAGAAAAAAGCACCATCAGCAGACCATGTATTGTTCATCCCCTCAGCTGTACATGCCACCGCACTGAAGACTGGCATTATCCCATCCTTTATTTCCCTTTGGCATTCTCTTTCAGAGCACAGATGTGACAAAACCAGAAAGTACAACTTGAGTCAATCTTTACCTTCAAACGAAATTCAGGACTCTCTGGCAGAAACCAAGGTTCTGCAAGTTTAGGAGTCCCTCGCAGAGCAATGTTTTGCGTGTTGTCGCTCACAGACAGCACTGTTCCGCGAACAACTCCGCTGGCAGTGGCCGAGTGCCGCAGGCTGAGCGCACCGGGTGCGAATGAGCATCAGGGCGGCTGCGGGCGCTGAGGCCGCGGCGCCGTCACAGACGCTGAGGGCCCGAGCGCGGTTACCGGGCAACCGCGGCACCGAGCCTGGGGCCGGGCCGGGCCGCGCTGCTGTGCGCAGGACATTGGCACTTTGGCTGCTGACTTGACTTTAGTGCTTTCTGCAGAGTCTTTCTGTATTTATGAAAGTTTAAAATGTGGTGATAAAGACACCTTTGGCAGGTCTATACCCTGCTCTTTGTATAGCACTAGGATGCTACCCTGGCTGGAGCCCCAGCAGGGGCTGAGGGAGCTGGGAAGGGGCTCAGCCTGGAGCAAAGGAGGCTCAGGGGGCCCTTGTGGCTCTGCACAACTCCCTGCCAGGAGGGGACAGCCGGAGGGTCGGGCTGTGCTCCCAGGAACAGGGACAGGAGCAGAGGGAACGGCCTCAGGCTGGGCTCAGGGTGGGCACCAGCAGGGATTTGCCCATGGAAAGGCTGCTCAGGCCTTGGCAGGGGCTGCCCAGGGAGCTTTGGAGTGCCCATCCCTGCAGGTGGCCCAGGAAGGGCTGGAGGTGGCACTCAGGGCTCTGGGCTGGGGACAAGGTGGGCATCGGGCACAGCTGGGACTCCATGGTCTCAGGGAGCTTTCCCAACCTTGATGATTCTATGATTCTATGATTCTATGAAGGAATGATTCAAAACAGATTTTAACTCTAAATCTATCATACACAAAAATTACAAAGGTCAAAATTCACCTAAAAGAAATTTAAGATTATTCTTTAAGATTGAAATAATCATATGTCAAAGTTGCATACAACATTGTTACATACAATATTGTAAAGCCATATAAAATAAAAGCCTTGTTACCCTTGTAAAATTATGGCTCGGGCCTGCTGCTTCAGCTAAGTACAGCTAACAGCTAGCCTGACAAGTTCCTGTGAGAAAGGAATTTGCACCTGTGAGAAGAAAGACTTCTACCCACATCTTCTATCCAGGAGACGTTAATGGGAGGAAAGGTTTTCACTAAGATGTACTTTAGCAACTACTAACCAATGAACCGAACTGCAGTAAATTACCAACCAATTAAAATGAAAGACAATGCCTTTAGAAAACCATATAAATGCGAGCTGTGAAGAATAAAGATGGGCTGTTGTGCATGAAGACAGCGACGTGTAAAGACAGCATTACATGAACCACCCTTGGGTTTAACATCATCAGTGAAAAGTTAAACTGGACCTCTCTATTAGGAAAGGATTATTCGTTCAAATTTTCTTGTCCTTGAAGAGAATACAAAAGTCTTTATAGATATATTACTGCTTATGTAAATACAAACACCTTCATGTTAACATGTAGAGATACATTCCGATTAACATTATTGACAGACCAATGGAAGAGGAAAAATAATCAGATTTTATAGGCTGACTTCTTCCCTCTAATACCTGGCCATTCTGGCTGAGATGCCAGACTTATGACCACACTGCTTAATTCTTTTTCAGTTAAAAAGGAAGCAGAGTTGTGACAAAAGCTGTGCCTCCAATGATGCCTGGCCTTGTACGCATCTAGTAAAAAAGATATTTCTATGTTTTTGAAGTTTCTCAAAAGGCAGATCTTTGCCTTGGAAATGCAACTCTCAGTCAGTGACTTTGTTGGCAGAAGATGAAATAAAATGCAGCTTGTGCCTTTTCTGTGTTTATCTTTTGTGTGCTGGTTTTAGAGTTTGTTTCATATTGCTGCTTTTCCCCTGCTCTTTTCCCCGTAGGTGTTTTGGGGGAGCAGAGGTGCAGCGGCCCCGGGGGGGCTGTGGTGGCCAAGCCAGGCGAGCCCAGGGCAGGCTGGATTCACGGCCACAGGGCCCTGCTGGGATCCATGGATAATGAGAGGATTGGCCCTCACAATTAAGGGATGACTGTTGTGTGAATATTAAGAGAAGCTTTATTGATGTGTAGTTATGTCATTGTAGTTTAAATGTCCTCTCTTCTCCCCATAGTTTCCCTTTTTGCAGTGCTTTCCCTCTTCCCTGTGAGCACCATAGACCCCTGCTCTGGCGCAGAGCTGCTTGATTACTTCTGCTTGATGGAGCCTTACCTACTGTGTTTGTGTGCCTTGAAAACGTTTTTTAAAGTTTATTTCGTTTTCTGACTAAATTCTGATTGTTTTATATAGTTTTACAGTTACTGGAGAGATTGAAAAGTAGTAAATGCAACGCCTTCTTACCTATCGAATTTTAACATGGTCTGATATTTTTAACAAGAATGCTAACAAATTTGCCATATAAAATGATGCCAGATACAGTCACAAAAAGCTGTTGGGTTGTTCAGCAATATGCTAAATTGCACATTATATTTATTTTTCAGTAACCCTGCACTTTAAAAAGTCTTACTGAATTTCTGTTTCCATGGAATTTGGAGTTCCCATGAGTTTTTCTCATAACTGATTTACTTAGAATTCTAATATGCTTGTTACAACTTTAATCCCTCCAGTACACCATCATGCTGTTTTTTCATTTATGGATTATTCACGTTTTAGTTGTCTTTTTGTATTAATAACCTTAGACTATGTTACATCACGTCATATCTGTAACTTTTAAGGATGTTGATTTTAATTCTGTTAAAATAAGGCCCAATATTGTAATGCTCAGTTACATACTGTTAAATTGTATAAGGCTAAGATTTATAAAGTTAATTTTGGTCGACTTTATTTCTGTTAAGTTTCAGTATTCCTAAGTTTGAACCACGTTCTATTCCAGTTTTTTATGGTTCCAGTTATGTTCAATATTAATAGTAATTAACTTTGAGTTCTCTTGAGTGTGCTTTTTGTTCTACTAAGGTGATAATAAAATTATGTTTATTAATTTGAAATCCTTCTAGGGTGGAGTTTTATTAAGTTCATCTTGTTAAGCTCTATCACTGTCCAAATTTATTTATATCCGGTTTGAGTGTTATTTAATCTGAGGTATCATCAATTTTACTAGTGAGCTGTTCACTGTTTTCCTTTGATACATTTTTGCTGTCATAACTACATAAATGTTTGTATTACTGTTTTTATAGCCAGCTTTTCATATGCTTTACCATCTTTTGGTGTAATTATCTACAAGATGTGTCATTTCAG